GGCTGCTCCCATAGCTCGTTTCCTTGCCCCCATCCCTCCGGCAGATTCTCTGCAACATCGCGCTGGTGTTCGCCACGGTGGAGAACTGGGGGAAGGCTGAGGAGCACCTGACTCTGGCCATGAGCTTGAAGAGTGAGCCCCAGCACAACAAGATTGACAGGGCAATGGAAGCCATCCTGGTAGGGAGGAGCAGGTCTTACAGCTGTGTTCTCTCCCAGCAGCCCCTCAGGCAGGAAAATCCCAGTCACCTTTTAGCAGGAGAAAAGCACAGTGGGAATGGGCATCACAGTGAGACACGAGTCCATGGGAAAAGCTTTGGGTCACTGGGAAGGCAGACATAGGAAGATTGGGTTCAGTGGACCATGTCAGGGCTGGGGTCAGGCTGTCACAGAGTGGTTTGACTTTATGGAGCGAGACCCAAACCCCAGAGGCAAAAGGGGACATTCAGCAGTCCCTGCTCTCACTGCCAAAGGCTCCATGTCTCCCTTGTGCTACAGAAGCAGAAGCTCTGTGAGCTGGTAGCCATTCCTGTGGGGAAGCTGTTCAGGCCAAATGAAAAGCAAGTGGCTCAGCTGGAGAAGAAGGACTATCTGGGGAAGGCAATGGTAAGAAAGAAATATATTTATCTAGACCAAGCCTGTAGGCTGAGGAGAGCTGCTGTCTGCTCTCTCACCACCCCTCTGAGCTGCCATCTGCTGCCTGGTGGGCAGCCAGAAATATGGAGCTGGTCCGTGCCTCTGGGATCCCCCCAGGCATGGAGAGAGGGATGGCACACATGGGGAACAGGGACTCTGCAAGAACAGAGGAGCTAAAAGCATGTTCCTGCAGAGCATGGCCTACTTCCATTCTGTCTCCTTAGTGAGACACGAGGGACAGCCAACAATGAGCTGGAAAGAACCCACTGGAACTTTGGCTCAAGCCACGATATTTTCAGGGGTGGGGGAAAGAAGCTATTTTGCATCTGACACCCACAAACAACCTCCAGTTCTTCCCCTGCTCTGTTTGAGATGGGCTTTTCATCTCAGATAAGCAAGCAAGCTTTTCTCCTGTGAGTGTGCAAAACCCAGTCACTGGGATATCACCCTTGGGCTCAGGTCTCAAAGCACAGTGTCAGCGAGGCTGAGTGGAGAACTTACCTCACTGAGTGGAGCTTTGCTGCCAGAAGCACTCAGCCTGTAGTCCAAGATGCTTAGCCTAAAATCACAGTCCCTCTCGAGGCTGAAGCATCCTGAAGAGCTTGGCTTGGCCGACAACAAAGGAAGGGGGTGGACATCAGAGGTCTACAAGCACCAAGTCGCTATTTGTCTGTCTTTGGCTCTAGGTGGTGGCATCTGTGGTGGACAAGGACGATTTCTCAGGATTTGCTCCCCTTCAGCCACAGGTAAGGCTATGAATCAGTGAACAGTCCAGGAGGATGTGGGGGTGGATGTCACCCCGCAGCCTCCAAGGGCTCTGGCCTGTGGTGGGGAGCAAACAGCACCATCAGCAACCACCATGAACTCTCTGCCACTGCCACAGGGAGGAGGCAGGCGCTGCCTCCACAGATCAGCTGCTGCCTCCATCATCAGGAAGCTCACCCACCTCCATGGCTGAGGTTAACTGGTTCCCTGAATGGGGAAGTGGTGGCCTGGTGGCACATCCTCTGCCCCCACCATCGCTGTGGGATGACAGCTTTCAGCAGGGAGCAGTCTCTGAGCCTCCACGAAGGATTCATTAGGGATCCTCTGCCTAAGCTTGAGTGGGCAGTTCTGCTCTCCCTTTCCATCCTCCTCCCTGTTCCCAAAGCCCTTCTCATTTCCCGTGCCATTCTCCAGATGGTGTAGCAGCATCTTCCCATCTCTAAAGGTGTCTGAGAATTTTTACAGGAGCTTTTTGAGAGAACATGGGGAAGCACAGCCACTGCTGCACCGTTGTGCAAGATAAACGGCGCCCTTCTCAATGCAGTCAGGGGTTGACATCTCAACCCTCTGTGAGCTGAAACTACAATCATGAGTTGGAAAGAGGATTGTGCCTCTGAAAACCAACTGCAGGTGGGAGAATTTGAAAACAACTCCTTAGAAGGAACAAAGCCAGTGATATTCCTCACAGCACTTAAGGCACCAGCACAGGGAGGAAGGTGTTGGGGTGATGGCATGGTAGAAGGCTGCAGAATATTCCTGCAAAGCAATCAAAATCTGCCAGATTACTGCTGATTTTCCTTTTCTTCTTCCTGTTGGCAGACCTCTGGTCCTCCACCCAGGCCCAAAACCCCAGAAATCCTCAGGTAAGTTGGATGAAGGATGGTCGATGCTGTTTAACCCACGCAGCCAGGCACAACCCCATCCTGCACCATCATGGCTGAGCATCCAGCTGGCACCTGAAATTCAAGGGGGATGAGGAATGGATGGTAGAAACAAGGAGGCAGAAGTCTGGATTATCCCTACAGAGGAAAATAACAGCATTGCCAGCATTCCTGACCCGTCCACTGCTCCCACACCCAGGGCCCTCCAAGGGCAGCCACACCGTGTCATGTACGAGTTCATCCCTGAGACTGCTGAGGAGCTGCAGGTCCTGCCAGGAAACATTGTCTTTGTCCTGAAGAAAGAGAAGGACAACTGGGCTACAGTGATGTTCAATGGAAAGGTACCAGGGGTGTGCTGGCAGCAGGGCAGGCAGTGGGGTGGATGTGGTGAGGTTCTGCAGAGGCAAAGCCTTGCCCAGAGCAACTAAATGGGTTTCTGATTTAGGTCCCTTATGCCTTCCCTGGCTTAGGCCACAGGGCTCAGTGAAACCCATCCAACCGGCAGAAACTAAAATTCAAGCCCCAGGAACTCTCCTGGATGCAGGGGAGGGTGAGGATACGATTGGTTGTGTCCTCCAGCGGTGAGTTGCTCGGCAGTCACCACTCATTCATTTCTCCTTCCCCTGCAGAAAGGGATCGTCCCCTGCAACTTCCTCGAGCCTGTGGAGCTCCAGAACAAGCTGTATATCCAGGTGAGGAGGCCCAGGAGGAGACGCTGTCCTGGAAGGGCAGATCCCCACACATTCACCCACCACCCACCTCCCAGTAGGATCCATATCTGCGATTCTCTCCCCCTCACGATGGTGGGTTTGGTTCTTCTGGCTCATGGTCACCTTAACTTGAGCTCAGAGATCTGCAAAATCGTGTTGGTGGCACCCTGGGTAGCAGTTGGCAATGCTGGAGAGTTAAAGGGTAGCGAAGTCACCCCACCACAGTTCAAGACCCCAAACAGACTTTGGGAAAACAGCTGGTTGGAGAGGGGGCTGCACAAGGCAGCAGCACCCCAGGAGGAGTGGGATTGACAGCACTACCTTCTTTCCACTGGCACAGGAAGAAACCTTTGTGGAGGACGAGATGCCTGAGTCACCCACCTCCACAGTGCCAGAGAAGCCACGGCGGCCGGTGCCAGGTCAGAGGGGGGGAGCTGAAGGGATGGAGGACCTCAGCAGCAGGTTTGAGGTGGTTTCCTCTGTGCCATGTCCTGACCCTTTGAGACCAAGGCTAAGGCTCATCTCCATCTTGCGCCCAGCCCCATTTGCAGTCAAGGATTAGGACACGTTAGAGCAGGAGGCAAAGACAGCAACTGCAGTGCTGAGGATGGAGTAAAATAGTGCCCGTGAATATCTGAGAAAAGCAAGTCCCTCTGTGCTCTTAATTAGCACAGTGACTAATGAGAAGAAGGGCCTGGGGGTAAGAATGGGGCAAGAAAGCAGCTGGAATAGAAGGTTCCTTACAGGCATCTCCTTCAAGCAGGGCACCCACGATGGTTTTCTTGCTGCCCTGAGCAGGGCTGGGCTTGAAGGAGCTCTGGTTGCCCTGGGAAGGGGATTCCTGGGCAATATGACCCAGCTGTCCCACATTCCAGGCCTGGGGCAGAGATGGCGGCACCAGGGTCACCACATTGCCCCCAGCACAGTTGGTTCAGCATGCTGGGAAGCTGAATGTCACTGCTGCAGTCTGAAATGGCTGTTCAGAGCCAAGAGCTGAGAGGATGCACTGCGAATTGCCCTCTCTTGAAAAATCACACAGTGTCACAGGTCTGTGGCTGAGCTGTGAGCTCCACACTGCTGCAGGAAAAACCCTTTTGGAGTAGAAAATACCACTGTGCAGAGACTGTACCACCCAGGTGTTAACCTGGTGCAGTTCAGTCTGGCCAACCTGCCAAAAAACCCAGGAATATGTGAAGAACCAATTGCCAGCCCCATGTTTTGAGGTAGGCCTGAGCCAGTTGGTCATGGAAAAAGGTGGATCAAAGGATGACTATCGACAGGACAGGGCTTGTGTCCCAAGCAGAGCAGCCTCATAGGCTGTCCAGGGGTAAAGTTGACACAGAAGGTGGCTGTGGCTCATAAAGCTAAGAACAAAAAGCTCATAGATCCAACAACCCCAAAGACCACCTTTAGGCCATCAAAAGCCATCTCAGATGAATTAGTGGGACCACATTCAACAGCATAGCTGTCTCTTCCCGTAAGGAAGAGTCATGTCACAGCACTGCCAAAATGTAGACCAGATCCTCGTGAAGAGGCTTCAACAAACCTGCATGAAAGCACCCTGCCTGGAGGTCTAAACTTAGCTTTACAGCCCCAGTGAAGGACAGGGACTGCCTTCAGTTTTCACAGTGGATCTAGGGAAATTTTAAGAGAAAAGACACTAAAACCAGCAGCTCGCGTTTATCTTTTAAAAATCCACCCAGGAAAGACATCCCACCCCTAAAGCTCCCATCCCTGCAAGAGGGAAGGCACAGAGCCCAAACCTCTGCTCAGTGGTTTTATCTAGATCTTACAGATGAAGCCCACTGTGGCAGATGCAGATCCCTTCAAGGGACCACTGCTGGCCCCAGGGTTGGTTGGTGTTGCTGCAGATCTGGCCACGTATTTAGGCACAGAGCAGCAACACTTATCCCATTCCACCTGCTGAGCCACCTCTTTCCTCCTCCACAGACCACATTCCTGATACTGTGATGCAGCCAAGAGACACAGCAAAGGTAACATCCTGTGAATGCAGACCCCAAGGTCCTGTTGGTACCACAAACTTGCATTTACCAGACAACTAGAGCTGCTTTTTGGGACTCTCAGTTAACCTGGTGCAGTTGCAACATCTTAGTTGACCTGAGGCACTTGAGAAGGGAGAAATAGGAGTTTGGCTGGAATGCACACACTCCTGGGCAGGGTCAGCGCATCAGAAGGTCGTGCTGGGGAGAGAGATGGGAAAACAAAACATTCCCAACTCAAAAAAAAGAATGAGGAGGTTGGAGGGTGGACAGACAGAGCTTGAATTTGGTCACCCCAAAGCCACAATTCGGTGCCAAGTGTCTCATCTGTTACTGGGCTCTCTCCAGGAGCTGCCAAACAGCCAACGTCCAGTCATAGCTTGGGTGGCACAATCTGACCAACCATGGCAACCACAGTTTCAACATCCCAGTCCCTCTCCCTCCCCTTGCCAAGCCACACAAGGTGACAACTCCTTTATTGCCCGCAGGAGGCCGAACCACCCACCTCCAGCCCCTTCGTCCTCAAGGTGCATTACAAGTACACGGTTGCCCTGAGGGCAGAGCCAGGCCTCTCCTACACCGAGCTCCTGGACCTGGTTTGCAAGAAGCTGGAGCTGCAGCCCAAGCACACGGAGCTGAGGTGAGGCCCTGCCCGTCACAGGGAGCCAGAGCTGTGTTCCCAGGGCTCCCACCCTCACCCACATCCCTGCACACCAGGTACAAGCCTGCGGAGAGCAAAGAGCTGGTGACTCTGACTGCAAAGAACCTGGATGCAGCTTGGAGCCAGAGCAAGGGCAACTGCCTCACAGTCTGGTGCGACCTCACGGAGGTCAGTGACACCTACAGGTGGCAGCCACCTTTTCTTCCCCCTCCTGCCTTTGCTTTCCTTGCCACGAGTGCAGGCTTGTGGCTTCCAGAGCAAGCCAGCGCCCTCCTGAAAGGCAGAGGAGCAAAGAGGGGGTGAGGAGGAGAAGCAAAGCTTGTCTCTCTTGTTCTAGTACAAAGAAAAAGGAGAAACCAAAGGGTGTGTGTCCTTACCAGCTTGTTCCCTGCCCTAGGGAGAGGGGTTTTTACCAGACAGCAAACCAGAGGAGTCTCCACAGGAGGCAACGCCGGAGGAGATGGGACCAACCCAAGTTGTAGCACAGTACAACTATGAAGCCACCCAACCTGAAGACCTGGAGTTTCAGGCAGGAGATGTGATCCTGGTTTTATCCAAAGGTAATCGTGCTCCTCCTGTGACAGGGCAGGGGAGGGACCTGTCACCTCTGCTGAGAGCAAGACCAGTGTGGCAGCAGCAGAGCACCCCCAGCTCTAGTGGAGCTTCCCATCCACGCACCTGTGTCACGCACACTTCCAACACATTTTCATCACAGTCCTGTTTCTGCCACCCCCTTCCCCAAGCATTTAAGACAGGAGTTCCACCTGAGCTCTGTTTTTAAGCTTACTGTTCACAGTGGATTTTTCCAAGGAGATGCCTCATTTTGGCTGCAGCTCTTGCTCCCATTCCTCTCGCATGGCACCTTTTCCTGTCTGCTTTTCTTTTTAAGGGTACAATCTTCCATTAGCCTGAATCCCGTTAAATATTAGTCTTTAGTGCTTCTATGAGAATTGAGGCTTAAACAGAGACAATCTCAGCAAGATCTAGTACGTATGTTTGAGCTGGATCCTTTCAAGCCTGTGCAGAACACACAGCAGAGGGGACAAAGCCACTGCTTCAGCAAAAACTGCTGGTAAGCCCCTATCAGCTGAAGAATTATATACACAGGGCATGTTTCCCTCCTTAATGGGGCCTCTGAGTGAAATCAAGACATCAGGAATAAGTTTTGAAGGCAAAAAAATTGTGATACCTTGCTAGCTGTAGCTCTGTCAGTAATTGTGGCAGGCTTTGGCAGCAGTACACAAGTAATAACAGTCCCCCCTCTATGATTTTACAGGTTAGTATTTGCACCATACAGCACTGATGACTCCCCCAGTCCCAAAATCCTACTCTCTCCTTCACTGCTGAGCTAAATATTTCCCATTGAAAGGTAGTTCTCATCTCATTTGGTTCCCCCACAGCAAGATTTTCAGAGCTCTCAGGTTTTACTCAAACCAAGGGTAGCAGAGGCTTTGGGGGTTTGTTTTGGTGTTTTTATGTGAACTTGTAAAACAGGTGGAAATACAATTTAGTTATATTTTGAAGAGGACAGCCCAAGTTATCAGATCCTTGCTCTCCACACTCACCTTGTTTCCACTCGAGGCAGTTTCCAAGGCCCTTGGTCCATGTTTTGATCTGATTTCCCACCTCCATTTGGCATTCCTTCTTACCTTGTAGCTTTGCTCTCTTCCTAGCTCCTTCTCATCCCCTTCCCTCCACATTCCCCTCTCTACCAGGCTCTAGCATGGCTCAAAGGCTTATCAGCAGAAGCACCTTACAATGGTCATCTCAGGCCTGTCTGGAGCACATGGAGGTGATTATGTTCCTCTGCATCCCTGGGGTGACAAAAACCGTGTCAATTTTCTCTTCCAGTGAATGAAGACTGGTTAGAAGGCCAGTGCAACGGGAAGACTGGCATCTTCCCATCCGCGTTCGTTCAGCAGCCTAACACTGAAGAACCAGAGAAGTGACTTCAGAAGAGCTTAAAGTCATGGAAAAAAATTCAACTGTTGCCATTAAGAAGTTTCCATATTAATCCCTGCATCTGAAAATGAACTTCATTATGAAGTTATATTATTGCTACTTGTATTAAAAGCTTTATATTTTCTTTTACCTTTTGTGTTGTTTTCTAAAACAGGTACTTGTTAAGAAGTTGCTAATTGTCTTCCTGTTAGGAATTCCTAAATCCTGTGCTTGCCAAGCCCCTTGGACTTGCCCTGTCCCACCTGCCCTATCCTTAACAAAGCTTTTACACAGACATGCCAGGAGCTGGGAAAACCCACAAGAGGGCGGTGCCACCCGCAGTTACAGCCCGTCAGCAGATCCAAAAAGGGAAGTGACATTCAGGAAGCTACAGACCAGGAAAGGCTGAACAGCATTTGCTTCCTTAAAACATTACTGCCAACCCCAGGAGCTTAGGAGGCACCACACAGCCTCACCCTACTCCAACTCACAATTCAAATTCGCAGGGACTTTACAACCCCCACCAATAAAAGTGGACACTTTTTTCACCATTGTTTCTTAAAACTTTTTCTGATCAGTCAGAAGAGACCATAACTTAGAAACACACTGCCTGCAATCTCAGAGCTTTGCTCCAAAGCAAAGGCAGCAGTTTCTCCACTTTAGATTCCATCACACAGGTCCTGGACAACCCCACTGAGCCAATAACCTAAATATCATATTTATTTCTGAAGAGCTGCCTGGATACAACAAACACCTGTCATTTCAAACCAAGAACATCTCTGGCATTTTCTGTGACACATTTGGAAGTATGAAAACAGCCAACATCCTGATCTGCAGGCAGGTCAATGGCAGAAGGATCTGTGCCCTACCAGGTTCAGTCTGCAACTGAAGAGGAGCTTTGCAAGCTACTCCCATCCCAGATTTTTGGTTTGGTATGTAAAACACGCTACACGGGCAGCACAAAACCACAATCCAATTATGTGCACCAAGCCCAAGCCAGAATCACTGTGATTTATTTAGTTCTCTTTCAAATATGAGGGGAAAAAAAAAAAAGAAAAAAAAAATCAACTTCAAACCTTCTTCTGGCTCCTCCAGAAAAATAATGTGCTTTTAAAGGCCTGCAGCCAAGTCACATGGGAAATAAATGCTACACACAGACCTGGATGGAGAGAACATGGTTTAATTAAAGGCAAAGCTGATTTCAGCAGCTGCAGTTCTTGCACAGACAGACAAAAAACACAAAAGAAAGCTTACGACACAAACCAGTTTGTGTTGGGGGCCCCTCGCCTCGCTCCCCCAGGTGCTGGAGGGCGGGAGGGCAGTCGGAGCATTCCCGAGGCCGGACGCTCATGCACAAGTGGAACGGTGCGGCTGGACCGGGCACTGCCGGGAGTGAGATGGAGAACCTGGTTAGCTCGTCTGGGGTGCAAGAGTCAGTGACGGATCAAACACTGGAATGTCGCAGCTGCCGGGGTGCACAGCTCGGACACACACCGGGAGAGCCGGAGGGAAGCACACAGGGGTGGGCTGTATTACCACCGGGTGGGAACTTCACTTTTTGGACTTGTTAAAGGAAACACAGCTTCGAAATGCAACACAGAACAGTGATGTTGCTAAGGTGGAGCTCGTGGGGGAGCTGCTCCTACCCCCGAGGGGTATTGGGTCTCCTCCGCCTTCCCTTTTCGTGTTCTCTGGAGCTGCGCAGACTCCAGTCTCACTTCAGCTCCTGCATGTGCTTTGCTCTGCATCTGAATTCCAGCCCAGAGATCCTGAATCATCACACAAACCCCTACTGTTAAACACAGCAAATGGACATTGAGATTGTTTCCGTAACTTCCCTGGGAAACCTAACAAAAACTCTGTCCTTTAACGAAGCTTCCAGTCTTCCTTCCCCCTAATAAATAGCAAATAAAACGTTTTTCCTTTTCCCTTCTGCACCTTTTCAGCTATGAACAGCACTATGCCGTTTCCATGTGTGGTTCACACACGTGTGTCCATGGGTGCCTTGGATTTGTTTCTGGAACTGAAAGCTTGGGGCTGCAGCTGGGGCAGGGGGGGACGGGTTTCTGCAGAGCTGACCTGTGCCTTTGCTGGGGGTGTGGACGCTCCACACTGTCCAGGCTGACTGTCGGATTTACCCAGCCCTGCTGGACCCCTGATTATTTTCTGCGAGATGTTGCACGTGGTAATGAAACTACAAGCGTTCAGCGAAGATGGGAGGATGGAGAGAAAAAAACAAAACCAAAAAAACAAAACAAAACCGAAAACAAAAAAAGAAAACCATTGAAAGCTTTCTACCTACCTATTAAAATGAGTCAGGCCGTGAATGCACAGACTAGCCTGCCCTTTGTGGGGCTAGCCACTATGCTACAGTAAAATGTACAGGAATCACACATTAATTTAAAACCCCATAGCAGTTAACTTGCTTGTTCAGCAGAGTGCTGCGATGCCCCACATCACCCATTATAGCTCAAACACCTACTGAGAGGAGGGCATTTCATGCTGGAGTCTCTAACCCACCTGTGGGCTGGCCAAAGCCTCTGGGTGAAGCAGTGCCAAGTGCCAGACTCTCCTTCATGAAACTCCTTCGCTAGCCCAGGAGATAGAGCCCCACCTCGCCACCAACCACCTCTGACCAGAGCAGCAACTGGGGCTTTCATTGCTACACACTGACTATGAAGCACATCTGTGTACGGAAGAATTCAGTGTGATCTTACTACTGAGATAGTAATAAAGATGTTTAGGAGTAATTTCAACTACATTCTCAGTCAGCAAAGCAATCATTAATGGATTCCTATTGTATCTCCCCAAAGAGGGGATAAGGATTGAGAAGTTCTCATTGGCTTCTCCCATCTGCCCTTCGTTCTCAGCTTTTACTTCCCATGTGGCTGGGGACATGCACGATGGAGAAGGTGAGAGGCGGTGATATCGGGTTACTGAGTGAGCCAAACAGCAGTTCCTCTCTCCCTCCAAAGGGCCTGGGGATGGGAGAGTTCCTGATGTTGTTTGCTTGCACTGCAGACGTTTTGTGCACACTCAGTGGGTCGGTGGAGCACTTACGCCCTCCTGACAGCAAGGAACAGAAGAGAGGGCTGCCACCTGCACAGGACTGTGTGGGCCAGTCCCGCAGACCCAACATGCCATGGTTTATGGAGCCGTCGTTTGCAAGGGTTGCCTCCTCTGTCTCAATGCGGCGGGT